AAAAAAAAAAAAAAAAAAGAAGTTTATAAGTTAGATAAGGCCAGAACATTGGGCATTCTAGATCATGGGAAGAATGTGTACCTAAAGATAAGATAAAACAGCATTTGGGGAAATTAAAAGTCATTCCATATAGCTAAGGCATAAAGTACATAGAGAAAAATGTTAAGAAGTCAAGCTGGGTAGGTATGCAGGCACTAGATCAGGAAGAGACCTCTCTACTGAGCTAAGAACAAGCCTTGCAGTGCTTAACTAAGGGGATGAGGCAGGGAACCAGTATGTTATCCCCAGCCTTAATACCTAAACTTATAGACAGGGGAAGCTATCTAAGAGAAAAACGGCCTAAGAAATCTCTCTCAGTCACAAGTTTAGGTTTGATGGTCTCTCTTTACCCATAAAAACTTGAAACCTTTTCTAGGCTGGGCATGGTGGCTCACATCTATAATCCCAGCATTTTGGGAGGTCAAGGAGGGTGGATCACTTGAGGCCAGAAGTTCAAGACCAGCCTGATCAACATAGTGAAATCCTGTTTCTACTAAAAATACAAAAATTAGTTGGGTGTGGTGGTGCGTGCCTGTAATCCCAGCTACTTGGGACGCTGAGGCAGAAGAATTGCTTGAACCCGGGAGAGGGAGGTTGCAGTGAGCCAAGATTGTGCCATGGTACTCCAGTCTGGGTGACAGAGCAAGTGAGACTCTATTTCAAAAGAAACAAAACAAAACAACAAAAACAACAACAACAACAACAAAAAGACTTGAAACCTTTTCTGTTTCAGGACTTAGCAATACAAGTTTTCCTTCTTCTCCAGACTTACAATTGCTTCAGTACCTGGACTGAGCACCTATCTCACGTTTTTTGCATTTAGTGTTTAGACCCCAAGCATTGTAGCTCAGTCAAGGCGCAGAGGCAGAACAGGAGGTTCCAAATAAAGAATACTTGCTTTATGCCTAGCCCTTTAAAAAGTGCTAATTTAGGTTTCAAAAGAGGTATGGGATAGAGACCCTGTCCACAAAGAGCTTATAAATTAATCCAGAAGACAATGCAGAAATATAAATAATCTATATATAACACCAGATTATAATAGCATTATTTACTTACATGATAAAGTACCAACTTGGGTAATATATATAATTAGAAAATGGGGCAATAGGCTGGGCACAGTGGCTCACACTTGTAATCCCAGCACTTTGAGAGGCCGAGGCAGGTGGTCACCTGAGGTCAGGAGTTCCAGATCAGCCTGACCAACATGGAGAAATCCCATCTCTACTAAAATACAAAATTAGCTGGGCGTGGTGGCACACACCTGTAATCCCAGCTACTCAGGAGGTTGAGGCAGGAAAATTGCTTGAACCTGGGAGGCGGAGGTTGTGGTGAGCCGAGATCGCACATTGCACTCCAGCCTGGGCAATAAGAGCGAAACTCCATCTCAAAAAAAAAAAAAGAAAAGAAAAAGAAAAAAGAAAATGGGGCAATAATACTAAGGTACTAACTGTATAACCAACAAGTCACAGAAGAGTGAGGGAAGAAGATCAATACTGACTGGCATAATCAAAGGTCACTATTATTAATACTTTCCCTATTTGGCATTTAATAGATGTTTCTTTTGGCTGAGCTCAATCCTTAGAAGGGAAACCTAGGCAGGAGCTTCTGACAGGCCACAATTATCTACTCCCCATTCATTCCTTTGCCAGTCCCCTTGTATAAACACTGTGATTTTCCACAACCTACTGTGCCCACAAGACAGCTCCCAAATGGTAGCCCTAAGCTTTTTACCTTCGTCTCCTGCTGGATCCTGAAAGGGCCTAGACAAGTAATGACGCCTACCCTTCTGCTCTACAGTCCAGACCTTATGACCAGATCTCAACAAGCAAAAATTTAACAACTGGTCAACCAACCTTTCCAAGGTTAGAGAATTCCAAATGAAATCCCTGGTACTTTAACAGAGATGTTTTATAAGTATCAATCAGCCCACTTTTGCCTCCTCCGTTCTTTCCCCCTTCTTCCCCTCATCCTCCCTAAGTACATCTCAAGCCTTATCAGACTTTCTATGGGCAACTTTTTTGGACAAAGGGCATTCCAACCACACAAGCCACCTAATACCCAAAACACAAGTGGCCACTCAGGCACCTGGAAAGAGGAAGTAGGGCAAAGACACACAAGAAAATAACAAATACCTTACCTCTATCATAAATTGTTCCAAGAAGGAATTTTCTTCAAATGGTTCTGTCTTCAATCGATCTGTAATAAGAAGGAACAGAGAAAAGAAACATGAGTCATATAGGATAAGCTTCTTACCTGATAGAAAGGGAACAAAACAGGGTTACTTAGGAAAGAGGAGGAAGGTGCATCATGCAGAGACACCTAGTTCAGTGGGAGAAGAAGGGCTGAGAGCATGTGGGCAAACAGCAGTGGGAGAGGGTGATTAGCAACAAATGGCAGGTTTGGTGGTAGCATCTGCTCTAGGAGTTTTTCCTGCCACAAAAACAAAGGCCAAATTGAATTTTTATTCTGAAGTTGGAGCCATGAAACTTCCTAAACTCCCAAGTCCATGTTGCTCTGGTATAATTCTGTATAGTTATTGGCTCCTTTCCAAAGTCTTTCCCCGCCATTGCCTAGGGCATGTCTGGACTCAGTTACAGCTTCTATTGGCCACTTGGGCTCCAGTCAGGTATTTGAGGCAGAGAAAAGTGTCACCCAGGCCAGGCACAGTGGCTCACGCCTATAATCCCAGCACTTTGGGAGGCCAAGGCAGGCAGATCACTTGAGGTCAGGAGTTCGAGACCAGCCTGACCAACATGGTGAAACCCTATCTCTATTAAAAACACAAAAAAATTAGCCACGCATGGTGGCGTGCGTCCACAATCCCAGCTACTTGAGAGGCTGAGGCAGAAGAATCCTTGAGCCTAGGAGGCGGAGGTTGCAATGAGCTGAGATCACCCACTACACTCCAGCCGAGTTGACAGAGTGAGAGTCCATCTCCAAAACAAACAAACAAACAAAAAAGAGTCACCTAGTATCAAGACTCCAGTTTCTGATTAGTATTCAGCAGGCATCCTGGGGGAAGCACCTCTCTAATGCAAATGAGTCTCCCTCTTTCCTAAGACTCTTTGACTATCTATAGCACTCCCCACCCGACTCCTCCAAGAATGTCCTCTCACCTCGAATCAGCGTAGCCCCACTCTCCTGGTAGTCTTGGATCTCTAGGTCTTTCATATGAAGCAATGTTGCTAGCTCCCTCACTTGGCACTGTAACGCCAGACTCATGCCCATCAGAGGACGAATCAAATGTTGGGAGACCTTTGATGGAAGAGATATCCATTAGCCAAAAGACTCTTATAAAGTACTCTCCAATTCGGTTTAGGTACTAGAAAAAATACTGAAAATAAATGTTCTTATAGAAACTTAGAGTTTCATAGGCAAGTAACCCATTTACATGAATGTAAACATACATACAATAATTACATATATTAAGAAGGTGGCTGATGCAGTGGCTAATGTCTGTAATCCCAACACTTTGGGAGGCCAGGGCGGGTGGGTCACTTGAGGTCAGGAGTTTGAGACAAGCATGGCCAACATGGTCAAACCCCACCTCTACTAAAAATACAAAAATTAACTGGGCTTGGTGGCAGGTGTTTGTAATCCCAGCCACTTGAGAGGCTGAGGCATGAGAATCATTTGAACTCAGGAGGCAGAGGTTGCAGTGAGCCAAGATTGCACCACTGCATTCTAGTCTGGGAGACAGAGTGAGACTTTCTCAAAAAAAAGATCCCACCAGCTGAGATGGCTCATGCCTATAATCCTAGCACTCTGGGAGGCCAAGGTAGGAATTCACTTGAGTCCAGGAGTTCAAGAGCAGCCTGAGAAACATAGTAAGACCCCATCTCTACCAAAAAAGAATTTTTAACATTAGCCAGTCATGGTAGAATGCATCTATAATCCCAACTACTCAGGAGGCTGAGGTGGAAGGATCACTTGAGCTGAGGAGGTCAAGGCTGCAGTGAGCTGTGATCACGCCACTGTATTCCAGCCTGGGCAACAGAGCAAGACTGCATCTCAAAACAACAACAAGAAAACAAACAAACAAACAAGAAAAGCAGAAGATCCAAGTAGCCCTCAAGAAAGGAAGTGTGGCAAAAACAGAGTACACTAGCAAAAGCGTTAACAGAAGACAAAAATCAACAGAAGGTAAAGACCCTTGAAAGTCAAATTAGATACAGACACTAAGAGCCACTTCAGGGCTCATGATAGCCCAGAAGGAGCCTGGGGTTTCAATCTGTTCCCACAAATGCAGTGTAGTCTAAGGTTATTGTTAAAATAGAAGCAAGCCACTTACCAAGAACTAGCCTAGGAAGGTATAAGCCAACCCACTCTACACACAACCCTTTTTTTTTTTTTTGAGAAGGAGTTTCGCTCATGTTGCCCAGGCTGGAATGCAGTAGCA